CTACATACGTGGTCAGTTAAAAAAAAAAAAAAAAAAAAGAATATAAAAATACTTAAAAAAAATATATATGTTTCGAAAGATATACTTAGGCCACTTCCAGTACAATTTTCCACGGTGCGATGCCCTTGTCCGGGGAGTTGTGTCAGGTGCGAAGCCCTTCGAATTTATCCTCCGTTCTCTTACGTTCAAACTACGATCTCTGGAAGCTATGCAAGCACCAATCATGGAAACGGAGTGGTCGAAAGTTATACCAATATTTATCGACCTGCTCCCCTTCGACCTGTTCCCAGAGGTGAGTATAGCGATAGTACTTTATTAAAATTATTTCCCGTCTTCTGTGTTCAAATTTTCAAAGTTAGTAGAACTTCGTCGTCGCACGAGCTAATCGTTAATCGATGAATCATCAAATGAATGTTTCGTTTGTGATCTTTACGATCATTTTAGGAGGAAATCACCCGAAAGCCGCAGTTCGTGCGACGAAGATTGCGTCATTGACAAATGCGACCATATGGACTACTGTCTTGTCTCCGAATACTCGACAGCAAGTAGGGCAAAATATTTACACGTCAGTGTATTCCCGTTCGTGTTTCCTGTTCGTGTTTAAACGACATCTTAAGTGCCACCATTCGTTTATGGCCGTTGTAAACAGCGGTTTCGTCGTACTCTTCTCTGCCAGATAAAAAGTCAGAAACCTCGACTCCCCTTTGCTCTTTTCTCATTCGAATTTGTTTACATGTAACAACAATATCGGTATGAACAAGAGGAAAGAAAGCTCGAAAACCAAGCACATAAACATATACAAACAAATATTTCCAATTAATTCGATCGCTCAGCATCTACGACTAACAATAGAATAAGCAAGAATTTATCAATAGAAGTTGCACTTTCAAACGGTAGCATAAAGTTCCCGAAATAAGTATGACCTTACTAACTGTTGGCCATCCGATTCATACGGGGAGGACCGTACCAACCAGAGAGAGAACCACACTGTTTAAACTCGTACACATGTTGTATACTTCTGTAGGGCTGTAAATCAGCCAGAAGTACCGAATCTTGGAGGCCTCTTGTTCGGGTATAAGATCTGTTGAAACAGACACCCATCCTACTATGACTACCGTTTACATCATGTCAAGGCCCCCTTTTAATTTGTGATCTCGCACTTGCGTCCACCGCGACGAATGCTCTCGGCATCTGTTTCATCAAACGAAGCCAAGCCCCAAGTTTTCTTTTCTGCATTGCTCTGCCTAGGATCCACGGGCGCTTTTAAACTTTCAATTTTCTCTCGAACTTCTGCAGTTCCGTTGTCGTCCGCCTCGACACCGAGCAACCAATCGGAGCCGAATACCAGAAGGAAAAGATCGTGGTCGAGAGCCGTGTTCAGTTCTCTGCAACGAAAGGGATTGGAGCGACGATTTTCTCTGCAAAAGTACATCACGAAACCGGACAGGCGGCAACTCGCTGCCACTTTGGGCTTGACCGACGCACAAGTATAAACGTCAAATTAAGAACGATCTTGGAACGATCGGATTCTAGAACTAGATGTTCTGTCTCCTCTTCAGGTGAAAGTCTGGTTTCAAAATCGGCGAATGAAATGGCGACACACGAAGGAGAGCGAGAGCGCTGTCCTGTCGAATTCCGACTCTCAGAAGGAATCGGCGAGAAAGTTAACGAAGGACAACGCGAAGAGCGCGACGACTGAAAAGACTGTTTCGGAGGATGAAGAGGACATGGAGATCGAAGTTGACGTGTGAATTTGAAGATATATATAACGTTCAGATAGGACATAGTTTGTAATCTGCAATGAAAAATTTTTATGTTAAATAAAGTTTATACGTAAACAGTTTCGGTCTGTTTATTTCGAATTCGACGCTCACTTCATCAGTGTTCTGACGCCATTCGCAAAAGCAGATATTTTTATTCTTTTTTTTTTTCTTCTTTTTTTATCAGTTACCAGGGCGACCAAGCTGTTATTTCCTTTGTGAGAGGAAACTCTTACTTTTTTTTCGCGAAGGATCGGAGGCCAATAAACTTCAATTTAAAATGCAACGATTGTTGCCAGGTTTAGTGTCGATTTCTCGGCAATATTCGGTGATAAAGATGTCGAAGCCTTTGGGAACAAGCGAGAGCCAGAAATGCCTCAATCTCGATACTTCTGATATTCTCTGTAAGTAAGCCTCAAAATACTGTTCTTACTAGGTTATCAATGTATTTGTCGTTCTTTCAGCTGCATCCATGGCTCAGTCACAAACGGCTTCTGTCGTCAATGAATCTTTGCGCGCAGACACGATTCCTCTGCTGGATCACACGGCCGCGGAAGTTTCAACGACCACGTTCGAAGTGTCCACGTCAAAGGTGGAGTCGCAGATCGTCGCCGACAAGACGCCATTGCCGTTCGAGGAGATCCCTGGCCCGGCGATTCTGAAGATGTGGGAGAAGTATTGGAAATACGTGCCGCTCCTCGGTACGCAAGTGCTTTCCAGTCTACTAATCAACAGATTCACCCAGGGTACGATCTGTTGAAGTACCAGTAGGCAGAAATCCGAAGAACCTAACACTCCTAGTGTTTTTTTGTCGGCAAAGAATTTAAAAAAAATCTGATTGAAAGAGAAACTTGAAAAAAGAAAAGAAAAGGAACTTCGATTTATTCTTCGGATTTCTAATCGCGCATTTATAATCTCTGACATCTTCGATAAGACAGCGTGCCAGTAGAGAGTAATGACGTTCGTAAAAAGTTTTCAACAAGTTTGTTTGTATAAAGATAGATGATTGGTTAAATTTCAAAGGGTCGCTTTTTTAGGACGACTGACGTGGAATCGTAACATCACGCCCTTAAAATATTTATTCAACGAGTACGGTTGTATCGTGAGGGTCAACGGGCCCCTTGCGGGGGACATTGTCATGATTCACAGGTAACGTTTCCTCAGGTAATAATTTTCATCGGCTTCGTCCAATTACCTGTCTGCTCATTACCCCTGTTCGTTAACGCAGACCCGAGCACATAGCAGAGGTCTTCAAGCAAGAAGGCGATATGCCTGTACGAAGTGGTATCGATATTCTGCAACATTATCGATTGAACTACCGCAAATATCGTCTCGCAGGACCGTTTTCTGTGTTAGTAGATACCTGTAAATACCATAGAAATTTTATGTATAATTTTCTGTGTAAAATCGAAATCTACTGACCGAGAAATGTTATTCAGGCAGGGCACGGAATGGATAGAAGTGAGAGAGAAGATAGAGCAATTGTTCAATCAAATTGCCCCGAGTTTCTTCGGAAAGATCGACGTGATCTGCGATGAGCTCATTGCTAGGATATACAAAATACGGAACAGACAGAACGAAGTAAATGCGTATATCAAGGCGTACAACGTCGAGCTGACGGTATGATAAATCAATGAATTTGCGAACAGGTACCTGCTTGTTTTCACGAGGACATGATACGCTGGGCTATGGAGTGTTTCTGCGACGTAACGTTGAACAAGCGCCTCGGATTCTTGGAGTCAGCTGGCTACAATTCGTCGTCCGAAGCCACTAGAATTATCAACGCCTTGATGACAGCTCACAAGTACCTGAGCCGCTGTGAAACTGGCTTTCAAGTGTGGCGATTCTTCTTGACCCCGTACGCCAGGAAACTCTTCGAGGCTTGCGACGTACTTGACAAGTAAGTTGACTGCTCTTGAATCGTTTCCGATGGAGGTTTGCAAATGTTTTTCTCAGTGTCATAGGGAAATACGTCCGTCAAGCTCAAGGTAAGCTTCGAGTTCGAAAATCTCAAGGAGAGAAGAACTTAACGACCGACGATAGTTCACCGGTCTTGGAAAGATTCCTCGTGAACGAAGGCATTCATCCAGACGACATTTGCACGTTGTTGATGGATATGATCATCTTAGGCGTTCAAGCGGTAATAATAGAAACACCATTTTGATATTGACAGTGAAATGTAACGTTCGTGTGATTTCTAGACGGCGAATTCCGAGGCATTCGTGTTGTATCACTTGGCCAAGAATCCACGAACTCAAAGAAAACTCTATGACGAAATCACCTCTGTCTTGCCAAATAACGATTCTCCTGTCACGGAGAAAGCGTTAAAAAATATGCCATATTTGAAAGCTTGCCTTCAAGAAACTTTGAGGTAGTAATTTCTAAAATAGAAATATCTATTAGTAGTATCTAGATAATCGATGTCTAGAGTAGGTACATAGATGTGATAATTATTGTCGTAGTAAAACGATTCGTTTGATTTAAAGATTGCATCCTGCCATCCCTTACATCACCAGACTGTTACCGAGAACAATATCTCTTCATGGATACACAGTACCTAAAGGGGTAAGTGTATATAACATGTAACTTGATTCTTCCAGTTTAATTTGTCCTTTACAATTAGTGTTAAATAAATTTGCAAATTCTTTCGTTAATAGCAAATAAATTGATTTTGAAAATATGTGAGAGTTATAAACATTATTATTTATCTGGAAGCATATCTTTTCATCAGAATTATAAAAAATGCATGTTAGAAAAATAGATGCCGACAGAATTACGTGACTTAAAGTAATTAAAGTAAATTTTTATAGACATTTGTCATTATGGCGAATCAAATTACTTCGCAACGAGAGGAGAACTTTGAGGATCCATTAAAATTCCGACCGGAAAGATGGCTGTCCAGTTCTGTAAAAGGAAGTACAGACTTTAGTTATTTACCTTTCGGTCACGGTGTGAGATCGTGCCTAGGGAAAAATATGGCCGAAACGGAAATGATGCTAGTGACAGCAAAGGTATTTATTATTGTATTTAATTATTTCAATTATTAATCAGTCAGCGTTGTTTTATTTCGGCCATATTTCAGCTTGTACGACAATTCAGAGTTGAATACGATTATGCTGACATCAAAGACAGTTTTATGATAGTGAACGTGCCCAATAAACCGCTCCGTTTCCGTTTCGAGAATAGGTATTAATCTACTATATGGTATGTAATAAAGTATCGATTATTGCAGAGAACCGCAATAGAGATATATTTTATTTCTTGTTATTAAGTTAGCGCTTCGAATACAGTGAAACGTAATTTAAAATATGTAACAGTAGTTGTGTGATTTGTCGCTGATTTTTATCATATTCATTACGTCGAGAGAAAGAGAAATATTGTTAGAAAGAATTTATCATGTATTTGAGACTGATTATGTACGTGTAATGTAGCTTTCAATGTTAAAATGCATAAAGAGCCTGTAAAATAGAGATTGAAAGACATCTTCAAATGCTGTTTCCAAATTATTATTTTTATTATTTATTTTTCACTTATTATTATCTCTATTTATTTTCACTTATTATTATTTTATTATTTATTTTATTATTATTTTTCACTTATTTGTTCACAAAATTTCAAGGATCAGACACTTTGGAAACAATAGTAAGTTTCTGATATCTCTGGATTTGACATCGTCTCAATTTATACGTGTGTTTATATAACGTATATGTGAAACAATACGTTATATAAACAAAGTATCTCTTTTGAGTTAACTTATAACTTATCTTTTTTTGTCATTTTGTTAGCGATGAAATTGGCGAAGCAGGTGAAGGTGTTAGCAGGTGAAGAGTCACATTACGAAACTATAGATCGATAGTACTAATAGATCGATAATTAATATTTTCTAGAAAAAGCAATACATATCATTAAGATATAATTGATAACAATGGAAATCAAGGAGTACAGAAGGACTTGCGTGAGTGATTACGAAATCGGGGACTTATGCATATACACCACCACTGGCAATTATTGATTTAATTAAAATAGGCACTACGATATTGTTAATTGGAAAGAGAAAAGGCTGGAATAATTTTACAGGTTCAAATCAGAAAACAAAAGACTCATGTGATTATGTCTTGATATTTTCTTATTTAGACTTTTTACTGTAATTTCTACCAGGCTAAAGAAATATCAAGAAATATTAGACTCTATGAAATACTCTAATGCGTAAATAAAAGTTCCGACCAAATATTTCTCCCTCCATATTCAATAGACAGAAATTAATTAGTTTTCGTTAAATAATGGCGAGAAAATAAAGTACAATCCACCAATAATAAAACTGTCAGGACCTAAATCAATTTGAGTTGATGAAAAAAACCAATGGATTCCGTGTTTTAAAAAAAGTGTTGCATTTCGAATTTCAAACGCCAGGCGCGAATAAATATATAATTTTGTGCTAGAACCGCATAGGGATGCACATATAGAAAATTAATTCTTTATTGTAAATATTAATTTGAAATTCTGGCGCGTACAATCATTAATACGCATGTATCAAATTGAATAACGTGTTTCTGGCACGGATATTATCTCGACAAACGAGACATCACAAATTTACATCCATATTGAAGGAACAATAATAGAGTCCGTTTATTATTGCCAACGTTCCGTACAATTCGTTTGCAAAATATATGAAATAAAGAATTTTATTAAACAATACGAATTTCCATTTTCTCGCGTTCTTACTCCGGTTTTGCAAAGAACTTCAGGTTATATATATTATTGATGATCATTCAAATTATATGTGTTAGTTCCCGAATTAAGTTTGTTCATTTAGTTAGATAATGATGTTTTATTAGCAAAGGTAACATGAATATCTGCATTCGAGATATTCTTGAAAATGGATAGCAGCCGCTCATCGATTCCAGAGACCAATATGTGCTTTCACATAATGATTCTAATCAAAAGAACTATCGCTAGTGATAGTAGTTATACAACAAATTTAATTTCATAATAAATAAATCATATTATCCGTAGTATTTATGCATAGATTAACCCATTATCTATTTGTATTTATATACAGATATTTAAATCAATCATATTTAAATCAATTATTGAAAGTGAGTCTAGTAAATGATGAAGTTTGATATTCAGTAACAACAGTGAAGCATATTTTTCTTTTGCGCAATTTTCCTTTCCAGCTGAATAAATACAAATACATTCAATCAATGAAAATCACTCATTATGGAAATATATATATTGTAACATATTAAGATTTATTGTAACTTGTAACTTGTATATATTTTATAACATATCGATTCACTGTAAAATTTACATAATTCATGTAACTACTAAAGGTCGTCAATTTAAGTATTTATTCTTCATCCATGGCAACTCGTAAAGCCGTAAACATAGACATCACGTTCGTGATGAACTGAAATATCAAGTAGTTGTCAAATTTCTGCATAGATAAAGACGGCAATGAGATGTATTAAAAAAAGAAATCATTCTAGTACCGAGCAATAATAGTTTAATGAGAAAGCTGGAATGACACATTTGACCTGTAAGATCGCTGGCGATTGAGGTATCATCATTAATAATACAAATTTTTGTACTTTCACAGGCTGATCATACCATTTCGATTCGTAAACTGATCGCATAGTGTTTTCACTCTGAAACTCGACAGAAATATGTTTAATCGTAACGTTGAATGTGAAAAATTGAAATTTAAACGATGTGAAAAAACTTACTGCCTCCATTAAGATGTCAGCTGGCAACGCGCACATGAATACCCCCATCAGTACAGTAGAACACACGGAAATAAATTGAAATTTCACAGCAAGTGGTTGTCGCTGTTTGTTTGAGTGAATATTAATAACAATAATCAGAGTTTATATAATCTGCAACATTGCCAAGTACTCACTCCAATAAGAATGATACCGGTAAAAACGCTTTCCAGGCCACAAATGCTCAGCGTAATTAGAGTTGTGTATTGAGCTGTACTCGTCACTTCTTTTGCATACCTAAAACGACATGTTTTAAATATATATATTTAAATATATACATGTTTTAAACATATATATATATTCTCTGAAATATATGTAATAGATCAATATTAACACGTCCTTTTTTTAAAAAATATTTTTATGTAGTGTAGCAATGTAAGTAATCAATTATATCATTTTGCGTTTTTTAACATATAATGATCGCATAGCTTATTTTCCTGGTTTTACACTGGAGTGAAATTAATCATATATTATTCATATAACATTGTGATAAAATATTATAATGTGATTAAATTGTGATATAATTATCAGAATATATTAATCTCGTTGTCGGCCATTCATGATGACCAAAGATATTTCTCTAGAAACCAAAGATATTCAGTTTACTCAAATCACAGAATATTGTATATTTCTATGCAAATTCACATTTAATATATCGAATTTAAAAACTTTGTTAGGAAATTGTTTTACACACCAAATATTATAAAAAGAACTATACACTGTACTAGATGCATATACTTTTATATTTGGATATATTACTACATATTTTATACCTTTAATATTTTATATCTTTCTTCTTTCTTAATTATAATTCGTAACAAAAATATGAAATGTGTGAGAATGTCCCGAAAAACAAACGTGCCAACTGGCTCGCCAGTTTGGCTCGCAAACTTTTGCATTTACAAAATTTTATATTCGCAAACTTTATATTCACAAACTATCACAGAATCGTCGCATACCTTTGTATATCGTAATACTGCTTTATGCATCTTATGAACGACGCAATATCTTTGGAGGAGCGTATTTCGTTCATCAAAATCTCGAAGCGTGCTGCAGTGAAGAGCAACAATAATGCGCAAAATATGTTAAGACATATAGCTGACGCGCATTGTAAACCTGTAAATGCTTGTTGAAAGAAAACGATGCTTCTTATGGGTTCAGAATCGACTGCGAACGGATATTGTGCCGGCGTTGGGAAAGGATCGGATATGAAAAGCGTTCCAATAGGAACGACATATGCGCACAAATTAAACCAAACTGCAGACACCGTGTAGAATATGGCATACTCGTCCACGTATTTTTGGAAGACACGTCTCTCGTCTGAATTTCCTTTCTCACAGAGAGATTTCATCTCTTCGATTAATCGCTGAAATAT